AACTTTTGCGTCCCCCCCAAAGCCCCTTCTTTGTTCGTTTTTTTTTTTTTTTTTAATATACAGTATAAATGGCGCTTACTGCCATATGGGCGTGGTCCTTTGCTTTGGAAGATGGCGTGCTTCCTGAGGACGCCACTGAGGCGGGGCTATTGGGCGCAGCGTCTTTCTTCAGAACCCGTGATTTATCCAGGCCATTCTCTGGAGGAGAGTGAGCAGGGCTCACGCGAGGGGTGGCTGGATCCTACAGCGTGAAACGAGACAGACGAGGAGTGAGACTAAGCAAACAGACCGGAGGAAAGAGACTGGCATGTACACGCAGGTCAAACAAACTGAGGGCCTCATGTGCAAACAAAGATAATATATAGATATATATACTCATGTGTGCTCAAACGCTCTCGTACACAAATACTCCTCATTCACCTGCTGCTCCCTTTTATCTTTGTCTTATTTTACGCCTGGTCACCAAAAGAATGATAAACAAACAAACGCGCACACACACACAATCAACATTAGGACAGACTTTTTGGCAACAGTGCGGGAGGTGTCGATTCCCCCACAAGCAGCTGTCTTTAGCAATGCTAACACTGCGGAATGTGGCTGGACAGCATTGTCCCAACGCGGTCTTACCTCGTTGGAAACATCCACCACTAAGTCATCGCTCTTGTCTCCGTCACTATCCTAAAATGAAGGCATGCCAAAGACACAATACAGTAAGGATACAACGTCTAAAAATAGTAGGATCATTCATATTAACCTGAGAAGGTAAATTGGTCTTTTAATTTGATTTTCTGTGATCAGCAGACTCTGTCCTGTTTTTATGTTGTGTTTTTTGGGGCGGCGGGGGGTGTCTATGTTTGTTTCATTTAAACTCACATTAAAAAGTGCTGCTTTATTTATACTTACATTCTCAGAAACTAAATTTCTCATGCAGTATCTGAAAAAAAATCTGAATAAGTAAACAGTGTACGGAACACTTCAATGTTGGGATTGGGGTCATCCCAATTTCTTTTGATGGCGGCGCGGACACCCGCAGCGGCTCCTCGTTTTATGTTGAGAGGGAAGAAATTTCATCTGTGCTGTATACACATACAGCACATTTGACAATAAAGTTGTATTCAATTCAATCCCTTCCGTAACTGCTGAATCAATACTTTTACCGAGAAATTTAGGAGTGCTCTCAATTTTGGATGAACATTTGAGATGATTCCATGGCCGGGTGTCCTCTTCCTTTTGCCCGCATTACTACTGCCATTGAGCTGTTGTCAGTACCTTTTTAAAATGATATGATGAAAGCAAAAAAATTCAAAATAAACACTCACATATCTGTTCATGCTGTCCTTGTCGTCCACTTTACGTTTCTTGGGGTCAAGGCCATAATCTGACGAGCCGCGGTGCTTTTCACTTGCTGCCCGCAGGCTGTCTGATGGCGACACAGAATTATTCTGCCGACAAACAATAAAGAGATGCGTCGGTGTAAATTAAACGCTCCAAAAGATCCTCAATCTTTAATTATTCACATGAAAGAAAAAGAAAAAAAAAAAAAAACACCAGAGAAAGCTAACTCAGCCTCTAGTCTGTCATCTTGCTCTATCTTGGCACTGACCGCAAGTAAACGCACAAATTGACTCGTTAGTCAAGGAAAGTGCCAGATGTGAGGGACCAAGAAAGCACTGCTCTGCCAACTTCTAACCAACACTTTACGAGAGCCTAGACAAGACTTGGGCTTCTATTCTTCAAAGCTGTGGCAATTATTGACTGAAACCAAGTGCACAGAGGCTCTGGACTGATTTGTCATAGAAGAGCGTAAAGGACAGCCGAGGGACATGTTTGTGTTCACACATATCCATGGGTAATCCTCTTGCAGACACTGAAGTAAAGTCAAACATTCAGAAATATGCCTGAAGCAATTCAATAATTTAAATCAAAGAAGAATATGAGCAAAGACTGTTTATTACATACTGAAATACTTGCAGATTAACAACATGCATGTGCATGCAAATAAAAGAAGGATGCAAGTCGCCTTCTCATCCATCATCCAATAAAGCTAACTGCCTGAAGATCTGATTGCATGCACTATGTCAGGTCAGATACAAGTCCCTATAAAGGACTGACAGCAAAGTTGATCAAAAATTAACCCAGTGGAAAGGTAAGGCTAAAAAGGGGCCACTAATATAAAATGACGACAATGTGACAACACAAAAGGGGGTGGGGGGCGTCACCAATAGGGAACATAAAATAAATTAGGCCAAAGAAAGGAGGAAGAGAGCAAAGAGCATAAAGTGAAACTATTTTGGCAAGCGATGAGATCCTAGCCATGTGGCAATGAGCTTCTCCGCACCAGTGGGGATGCCCTCATGAACTGGCACGCTCGAAGTAACTCCAAACGGGATTTTTGTAGTAGTTTGGGCTCCGGTGCTCTGTGGAGGCATGGCCAAGCACGCAGACAGGCAACAACGTAGGGTGAGGAGAGAACTCTGAGGGCAGGCCACACTGAATGGCAGCACAACAAACCGGTGCTTTCATCGGAAAAGAGGAATGAGCAAGAAAAGTGGTCTGGGGGGGGGGGGAAGTCCCACTCAGGCCCAGTGGTGGTTTAAAAACGCGGCCAATAACACCACAACTCTTTGCTTTTGCATGGGCCAGCACAGAGAGCTAAACTTCCTTCAACTAAGCACGATTCTGTAACTTCCAGTTTCCTGCATCTTGCATCAAAACATTTGTGCAGTAACTGCTCGCTTGAGGCAAGGGGAGGGAGACAATGATCGATGGAATACAGCTTGTCTTTGTATGCAAGCCGGTGACCTTTAAAGGGCTGCTTGGACTCAATAACCGTGTACTTTCCACCTTGTCTGGTGTTGGATTACCAGAGACAACAGAATAGCAAACCTTGAAGCACGAGCGGGTGTGCACTCGAAAGAGGTGTGGCAAGATCACGTATATGCCGGCGCTGGTGGGCGCTTGTCACTACACAAGATGGAGGCATAGTTTGGGTTCCCTTCAGACATGAGTGGGCCCATTCAGAGAGGCCAGTCAATGGGAACGTAATCTGTCCCATCCAACAGAGCGTTGCGCTCCAGTTATGCGAGCACTACGAGGCAGTCCAATAAACAGAGGCTTTAACATGAGAGGATGAAGTTATAAAATGCCAACAGACAGGGGTAGCGAGCTGGCTGGTGAACATTGTTCATGAGACAAGCACCCAAAAAAAATGAAGGCACACAAAGAAAAATGTCAAGATGAAAGCAGTTGAAAGGGAGTCAGGTCGTGGGCAGCCCAAAATAAATCGAGCAGTCGCCATGGAACGGAAAGAATAGAAGGCCAGTCAAAGTTGAGAAGAAATTAAAGAAGCTAGCTGCCTACTAATCCGCTCTGTCCGACTGGAGTCATTTTCCTCGAGGATTAGATGGCTTTAGACTTTATTTGGTTAGACTTCAATATTTGATTTCAGTCAGCGAATACCTTCATGCTAGAGCACTCATATACACAAAACGTGTGGTCTTACATGGTGAACGTGGATTTCTAAGGATCTTCCGTCTCTGTAAGGTACACCTAATCACCGGCAAAGGCGGGACACACATGGGGTACAAGGAAAGAGTGGGAAGTAAACGTACCGTGCTCGACTCTCGTTCTTTCAGAGGAAGAGCCAGAGGCGAATGAAACGATGAGGGGCCCGAAGAAGAAAATCAAAAAGCAAATTAGTATGGGTGTCACAACGTCTCCATGCTTTCATCAGACAAAAGTAATACGTTATTCAGATCAAAGATTCATCTCATTTGTGATGTGATCAACTGCATGATTCATTTTCATAGCGGTGTCTAAGAACAAATTGTTTAAAACCACTCTAAATAATATTGAATACCTTTCTATGACTGGTTGGTAAATGTTTGTTCATGCTTGGTGGGCCAGCAACAAATTGGTCTTTAAAATGTCTCTGGTTCTGACTTCCTCGTGACATTTACAGCATGTTCAATTAACTGCACTGTATATCAACTGGCATTTTGGTGGGTGAGTGAGTGAGACAAGAGAGAGAGAGGGTGCTCCTCACCTCTGTGCTCCAGGTCGTGATGGTTCTTCTCATCCTTTACGGGCAGGTGCGCCTGGCTGCCAAGAGCACCAAGCGCAAGCAGACCAGAGCCAGCACCCGTCACAGGGGGGATGCCGGGTGGCTGTAAACCTGATGGGTGCGGGGGTAGCTGCACAGGTGGCCCGTGCGCCGCGTGGGAGAGGTGTTGGGCCTGTAGCTGCTGCTGCTGCAACAAATATAGGGAGGCGGGAGGGAAGACGAGAGGACAAGTGGGTCGGCTGGGAAGTGAATGCATGTATGACCGCACTGGATGCATGCATTAGCGCTGGCTTACACCAACATTTATTCCCAGGCCAAACCGATTTTGGATAATAGCGAGATGACAGCGACTGCCAACAGCTCATTCACTGAGAGGAAAGCAATTCATTTCCCTACTGTGGGCAAACACCATATCGTCTTTTCTTGCATATTATTTGCACGATTCAAGCCGCCAAGGAGGATGACAGGTGATGACATGTCCAGTTCAGCAATTTTGTTCACAACTAAATAAATAAACACTCTATACTGTACCAACAAAAGCACTGACACAAAAGGCCATTAGATAATGATTGGATGCGATCCCATTTTTCACATTCCTAGAGGGAGGGGGGGGGGGCGGTCTAAGATGTTGGAGTGCGTTTGACGGAATTTCATCTCACTGGTGACGGAGTTCAGTTCAAGGCTCTGTGAGGGCAAAGTACAGTTCTTCTAGACCAAACCGTGCCGTCATGGGCCTTGCTTTGTGCTCAAGCACACAGTGAGGATGATGCCGCAGAAGCGTTTGAAACAGAAACTTCTCCGAAATATTCAGATGCTCAAATGTCCAGATTCAAGTGCTCTCACACAAGCCACAACGAATTCATGCTCTTCATTTGGAGGTACGTTTGGAGTCTTCTGTCAACAAAGTTGTGTGGATTGTAAAACAATGAGAGCAAAATAATCTCCACTAAAACCCTCTTTTCAGCACAGTCATACAAATGCCGACCCACAACCCCCAAGAGGCCTCAGATGTCTGTGTGTAAAAGGCAGTCGGGTTAAAGTGAGTCAACAGACACGAGTTAAACAGCCACTCAGGCAAAGGGAAGCAAGTGCTCTAAAACAAGGTTAAATAACACTTAGCACATCCATCAACGACTGCGCGCAAAAATCCTGACTGTTATTCTGATGCTAGATTGTATCTCAATGACATCATCCTTACATGCAATACGGGAAACAGACAAGAGAGTGCTCATCACGCAGAGGCTCATTTAACTGATGGAAATTGTTGAATCGTATTCGGTTCGGTGTTTCGACGTGAACGTGGAACCATAATCGCAAATGAAAGCAACTGAGAGCCAGCAGTGCCAATTGATACCGTAAGCGTGCACGGGCTAAAGCACACACTCTTTCCCGTGAGGTATGGGGGACAAAACGTCAACAAAGGCGGCAAAAGTAGCGAGAGAGAATCAGTAGCTAACAAGAGAGTGGAAGCGTGAGCATGGGATTGGGGCAGGGGCATCCCTATTCAGTGAGCCTAATGAGGAAAAGTGTGCAGGGATCGTTATCAAGAAGCCTCATTAGTAAAATGTGGTTGGGCAGACGAGTGAGGAAAAAGGCGAGAGAAGAAATGGCGGTTGGGGGACCGGGTAGAGGGAACTGAAATAAATTGCTTCCAATTCAATATTCATGGTTAAAGAGCTGGCTCCCTTTCAGTCTTATCTATTTTCATTATGCGTAAACGCCATTGCAGCCTAGGCAACTTGCACAGGAAAAAGGCAATTAAAGTTAACTAGGCGAAGCCGACTCCCTGCAGAACACAACTGTCAGCCAGAGCAAGCGTCAACACCAGCACCAACGCAAACCAGCTGGCACCCTGGCGCAACAAGTGATCGTTGATTATCGCATGACCTACCGGAAAACACACCTGACTGATTACACAAATTAATGAGCAGCAAACGTTTATGCGGCTTATCCTTTCGTCTCCTGCAAAGCCGTGACACCCCGGTAACACGGACGTCTGACAAGATACCAACCACACACTCAAATCGAGCATCATCCTAACCACCTCCATTTCAAAAGCGATGCATGTTATATAGATGGCAAGCAGTTTTAAACAGATGGCGCTTTGAGTAATTTCTGACCATGAAGGTTGGATAGAAACAGTGAGGCGGCTGCTGCTTCTGAAGGAACACAGAGGACAGGAAGAACAGATTCAGAGAGATGACAATCATACATACAATGATACCATTACCAAGTACACCTCTAATGTGCCTAGCATGACCCGGTTGCCAATGCGCCATATGAAATCTCGCCTCGGGCGCCACATTGGCTTGGGCTGGCCCGGAACATGTTTCCCAATTTTGGAAAAAAGGCAAACGAAGCCGTGCATTGTCAAACACTAAATGAGGCACGAGAAGTCCCGTGCTTAAGTAAGACAATGACAAGTCACATTCCTCATACATACATTATTTACAACAGACAGATGCTGGTCATTGCAAGTAAAAATATTTACCTACAGTTTGAATATGTTAAAATCTGCTGATAGGCTCAAATCCATACGGTTCGATTGGACGTTGGCGTTCCGATTTTTGAATGTCAAGTTGCACTCTCTCTCGGCAGGGAGATTGATTACCTTCCACGTCTGCTACCAAATAATAAAGCTTTTCTTTCCCCTCCCTGTGTTCTGTCGGTTCCGACCCATCTGTAATTAAAGAAAGGTCATTCCTGTTGCTGACAGGCTGACCTCTTTCAAGGGGAAATAGGAAGTAATTATCTTTAGAACCGGGGGTTGTGCTCGGGGCTCATTTAGTTTAATCGAATTTCACTATCCACCTCTCATTAGGCTTGACCCTCCCCACCCCCATCCCCACCCCACCTGCGCCCTCGCCAATGGAACAAGCTAACCACTGACTAACCTCTGCTACAGAGAAGACTAATCAAAAGGGTCACTTTAACATCTGGGTCCAAGCCGGCTATTGGTAAGCGTCTTGTGCTTAAACGAAAGCAGATGGAGGACCAAATAAGCAAAAGGTCTCGTTGGCTCGAGAGCAATGTTGGCTTGTAACTATTAAAAGGCCAATTACTGGTTTTTAAAGTGCACTTAGATTTCTGCCCTTGAATCAGAAAGAGGAAAATACAAAATTGAAATGAGGCCCCAAAGATGGTCAAAGCAGACAGAACCTTTAGCTCGGAAATAGCATCAACTGTGATTTCACCGTACATCTTGACCGAAAGACTCCATTAGGTTACTGTCGAGGCAAGTCTCTTCATTGGAACTTTAAATTAATCAAGGGGTAGCAATGAAAAACAATATAAATTGATATATCATCCCTCCTGGAGGCCAGTAAGTCTTACTGGCCTCGTACCTTGCACAACCCCATTGAAGGGAATAAATGAGCTTCGCTTTCAAAACATTATGAATTATAGTAAAACAAATAATAATAAACATGCCACAACACTGAAATCAGGGGCAAGTCTGCACACCTACAGAGGAAGTTGTTATTTGCATTCAGTCTGAGCGTTCAAAATCTACAGGTTGGATGGCAAAGCTGACTTAAAACGACATCAGCGAAGACTACTTCCACCCCATGTTTTCTTCCTGAATCTGTTGCCCTTTCCCTGTTTGTCTCCCACATATACTGAAACTCTGGCCAATTGAACCGAAGAACATGAAGGTGAAAGAAACCTCCCAACATAATGTAGCACGCTGGGATATCATCAGTATTTGACCGTGGTCTAGGGTGCCAACACTCCTCTCGACGTACAGATTTGCCCCCGTCCTCAGGTGAAATAAAGAAAGAAGAGGGGGTATACACACAGTGAGAGGCAGATTGGGAAGTCCACGTACCCCGATGATAGCATTCAGCTCGGTCATCGTCACCTGTTTAGCTCGCTCAACAGCTTGAGCAACCTGCTGTTGGTGCTAGAGGAAACACATCAGGAAGGAAAAGCAATTATTTACACTTCAAACCAGCATTTTAAATTGGCCCCCAAAAGAAAACAGTAATCTGGTATAAATGACTGTTTGCTCGATGGTTTTGAATTTCAAGCTTGGTCATTCCTATTATGGAGGCGTATGGACGATAAGTCGATACAGTTGAACCCATAAAGTCATGGAGACTCTCGGAGATGGGCCTGAAGTCTAAATTGAATTGTGTTTGACTTTGGAGCTTCCACTGCACTTTTTGTACTTTGGGGAAAATGATGAGTGAACATCTCGCACTTAAGTTGCTTCTTGCTGCAGTGACACTTACCTCTTGAGACAAGAATGGCATTATCTGAGCCAGGATTGCATTGAGACGTTTCGCAATCTCAGTCTACGGGAAGAAGGAGACAAAATATTACTGATATGGCAGTCTGGATGAACGGCAGACAGTGAGTAAAGGAAAGACGTGAATGAAGCAGCCAAACAGGACACTACGGCAAAATGAGGCATATGCGATGTCCATACACAAACAAATGTTTTCAAGGTTCAGTTGGATAGACCCCTTCACTAAATTGGGTCCGCCACAAAACAAATTTACGCCCCACTCTCTACCGCCACCATTAGACTCAGCCCTTATATAATTAGGAGGCTGAAGTATGCTAATGTCGTCTGGCTGGAACGAAACTAACGAGGTCCATGCTTCATAATTACTGCCCATGGGGAGCTCGGGGCAGGCTGAAGCAGTCATCTTAAGCCTCGGACGCTATCTATCAGAGGCATCTTTGGTATCGACCAGATTATTAGCTGGGAGAGCAAGACGATAGATACGGCAGGGTCTCATGCACATAGAGTACTTTTCAGCGCTGCATTTGGATAAATGGATGCTTCGGTGCCTGCCTACAGATATTCCTTGAAGGCTAATTGAGCTTTTTAACCTTTTTAAAAGTGTACTTTCCAGAGACTGAGGAGGGGATGAAGACGAGCAGAAAAGCTTAAGGAGGAGCAGCGAAGACCGGTGACGTGAAATGCTTTGATTTGACGCCAAGGTAATGCGGTTTGACTGAAGCAAGGCAGGCGAACTAATTGATTCTGAGAGATTAGGGGTGGAAGCCCAGCAGGTGTGTGTGCTGCATTCCACTCATTTTCAACCCTAGACTTGTTTGACTGTGAAAGTGGATAGGAGGAGACAGGAGGTGCCACTGGCCTTTTTCCACAACCCTTTGTGTCACTCCGTTGATTTTGCAGCGCACTACAGGAGAGGGAAGCCAAGCAAGGAATCATTTCTGTGTCAGTCAGACCTGGCTCACTGTTGTCTCTCAACATCCAGCCACCTTCATCCCGCCAATGCCCCGTCACAGCCTTCCTTGTTCATCTCCACGACACACTACCTCCCCCTTCCTCCGTTTCCTCACATAACATGCCCACCGCCCCCCCTCCCGCATCACAGCTCTGTTGCTGGGGCAACCCTATCCGGCAGGGATGATCGTTATGTAAATTACACTGGGGTCCTGACCAGAACAGCCCGTAAAATCATATTAGGCGCGGCACAGAGGAAGGTCATTAAATTGAATTTTCAGCCTGTCGATGTGATCGGCACAGGAAATTAATGAGGGATAACTGGGGAGCGGGTAAGTGAGGAGCGGCATGACTTTAAAAAAAAAAAAGACAAGAGAGGGAACTCATAAAGCATCATCATTAGTGGGGGCTGGCTGCAATGACACACAGTGGGATTACAGTGTTTCACTGGAAATGGCTACAAAGGGAGCGAAAATAGTTGAAGAGAAAACAGTGGCATGCTGGCTGGCACACTTGGCTATTAGAGCAACGGCAAATGAAAATGTTTAAAGAACAATATCCATGTGTTCACAGTAAATAGACACAACAAAAGAAATTCCGAGGTGCTGAAAGCAATCCTAGAATCTCTTGGCCATGTACTGAAAATGCAGCGATTTTGTCAGCACCTTCTTCTCACTGGAGATCCGCAGTACCGAATGTCGGGCAAACCAGGCTTTTGAATGATCTTGAAGCACAGGTCTCATTGGAAAACCAAACACAGATTCAAACATTGATTTGGGCTGAAAAATTATTTCACTCGCAACCATGTTTGCTTCCGGATTTTGGCAACACCGGCGCACGTTTGTCAAAAATATTAGGAGGGTGTGCAGTGTTAAACCTGACTCAAGTAAACAATTCGCCACCGCACTGAGCAACAACAAGCGGCCCTTTTAAAATCGACTCACTAAGAACTACGATTTGTGCTCTGACGGCTGAATGTGCGCTCTTAATTTTGATGACAGCTGCCGTGAAGAAGTAAACTACAGTGGGCCTACATCACTGCCATAGCACTCCTTTATTATTCTGACTCCCATTTAAAAGAGACTACTTGTCATGGGGCTTTTAGCGGCAGAGATGGGCGCTGGAAAGAGTTTACTGTCACTTAAAATCATTGAAAACAGAAGCCTTAGAGGGCGACAGGGGCTTTTCACTGCCGTGCCACAATTACAGGTACTCAGGGTTGTTTAGCAGCAACACAGCATGGAGAGCTCTCTCTCTCTCTCTCTCTCTCTCTCTCTCTCTCACTCGCTCACTCTCTCCTTCCACTGCATCCCTCTTGTCAATGGTGCGTTGAAAGCCATTTGGCTGTTTGTCGCTGCAGGCATTAGTCCCCGAGTGGAGAGCAGAGACGAGGATTCAATTGCAGAGGAAAACAAGTGGCATATGATGTGGGAGGTTGTTTGGGAAATTATCTTCTCGGCTAGAGCGCAGGAAGAAAGAGGCACTAGGTGTAGTAGTTGTGTCTTCTTCATTAAAAAATGCATGGAGAATATTTTGCACGCGTGTCATTTTATTTGTCGGCACCTACCCGCAAAACTCAAGTGAAGTTCTTCCAGAGCAGCTCAAGTATTTTTGACGATTGCCAACAGATTCATTTGGGGAAGTTGGAATCATCACATCCAGGAGACAATGTTTTGATAATCCTCTCTCTGTCACAAGCCTTTTATAGACACAGACAAAGCGGATCTTACTTTCTACTCCAACAACCATGATCCAGTGCTTGTGAGTACAAAAGCACACGCGCACACTCTCTCCTACCCGCACCCCCCTTTGCAAGACAACCAAAATAAAGCACGTCTCGCACAGAACCCTAGTAACCTCATCAACCTCCCTTGAGAGGCAGTGTGTGTGTTCGCGGAGTTAGTTTGTTTTGGCTTAGAGACAGGTCGCCCATCATCACCTTGGCAAACAATTCCAGGAATCCGCTATAAATTATTCATTTGCACAAGCTTGCTTTCTGCTGCTCTTCCCTCCTCCTCACACTCTTTTTCCTCCATCCAGGAAGCCGATATCCTTCTTGATGGAGCACTTTCCCCTCTTTCCAACACCAAGTCAGGACATGACACATACACAGTGTGCCTGCCGATGGTGCAACTAAAGCAAAAAAAAAAAAAAATCTCTTTCGCCAAACGTGTGTGTGTTTTCTCTTTGTGTTCTTATCACATTGACAAGTGACATCTAAATGCATGCAAGAGTGAGCGTGCGAGATAAACAGGTACTATAAGAGAACAACGGTAGTGGAAAGAGAGCGCAAGCCCCGCCACAAAGTCAGCAGGGCACGGCGCTGAGGCGGCCTAATGAGCTGCACTAATTAAAATCACTTATTGACAGCAAGCGAGGGTGATTACCTCCAACGTGAAGCCTTTGCCATCATCTCAGACACTGTCAAAACAAATTACCCCGCGGCAGCCGCAGAGATCGCCTCGGCTCTGCGGCAGGATGGCGAGAGCGGTATGTATGCCATGTCAAGATATCGCTGGCATTGCCATGTAAGTCACAAGAGTATTTATTTCTACGCACAGGGGAGTGTGTGAGCTCATTGCTCTGCTTCTCAAATCTGCTTTGGACTGATAAGAACAAAGCGAGCCGATGTCTTCTTTCACACTGCCATCAATCTTCCGGCCAGGCAAAGTAATATGGCCGCCTGCATCCAATAATCCAGGGCCAGGGGGCTGTCCATTTACCTCTCGCTGATGTCATCACAAACACTCGCTCATCAATGCTGGCATAAGGGGGGTGGCGGGAATCATGCATTATTCAGAGTGCTCCGTTGACACCGGCAGGCTTATCGATAAAATAAAAGGGGACTCACACACACACACACACACACACACACACACACACACACACACACACACACACACACACACACACACACACACACACACAGGAGAGGAGCAGTCGATTAACTCATTTACCCCGAAGCGTCTCGCTCCTTTCCTGTCTCTTTCCCCACTTGAACCCTCTTTGTTTTGTACACCACTACCAGCATGAAGACGGATCAACCACCTGCACATTTCTTGCGGTGCCGAAGCAACAACAACAACACTCAAAAGAGGAGGGAGCGGGACAACGAGCTGCTTGATAAACAAAAAAACAAAACACGCCCACAAAAAGCACGATAGCGGACCAACGGCGCCGTTTGCTGCTCGCGTTCCAGTTGGGTTACCCTCGCACTGACGCCATGAACCTGCTCGATTTGAGGGCCACGACGGCTCCATACCTCCCCTCTCACTCCCTCCGACTGTCACACGTCATATTGCAGCGCTAACGGCACCGGGGCCATCATTCACTTCGGATGCGGAAACTCTGAGCAAAATATGGCAGGAAACCGAGTGCAACCATCAACTGCAAGTGAATGAAAATGAAATGATTGAGCAGACACCTGATGAGACAATAGTTTCACAGCGATGAAGGCTGCAGAGTTAACGACATCCAAAATTATTTCAAGCCTATGAAAATGCTGATTAAACTATGATGATTAAATATCCTGCAGCTGGGGTTTAATTTCGGATGAAATGGGATCAACAAAGTCTTACCACTCATCTTACCAAATCTTAACCTCTGAAACAAAGACAGTATCCCATCTTCAAAGGACGCTCTGCAGTCGAGATGCAATGTCGACCTCTGTACAATGTTAGTAACAGCAAAGGTTGCATTGAAAATAATCCCCATTATGCTTTGGACTGTGACTTTTCCCCCCCAACTGAAAAAAAACAACAGACCACGAAGTCACTTTGGGTCTGAAATGTGGTCACTATCTCAGGACTTCCACATATCCGATTCCATCTGCTCATTTTACTAAGCTTGGCTGTTGCATGAAAGTACTTTTGTACTAATCAGGGCTCTCCTTTTCATCTTTAGCAGCAGTAGCCGGCAGCAGGATGCCCGGTGCAGGGTGGCAGCTAAACTAATGAGCTTTTTGTTCAGCTGGAACAAGGCAGGCAAGGGAGGAAGATTACAATACAGAGACGTGCGCGCGCACTCACACTCACGCACACACACCAGAGCGTTCAGAGGGGACACTAAAACACATCCTCTCAGACAGTCTGCCAAATACTTCACTTTAATCTTATCAAACCATCCCCATCAGGCAGCGTGCCCTTCATGTTGTTGTTTAGCCTGTCAGCATTTTCACGACAGAAAGCCAGTATGTGTGCCTCCTGAAGGCATTTCCAGATGAGGGTAGGAACTAAGGTCAGGTGCGTGTGTGTATTCCACAAAGACCGGAGGGACAACAAGATTGTTTTGGCTAAACACAGACGGGGGTGATATGACTACATACCTGTTTGTGCATCTCAATATTGAGCCCGTAGGACATCTCGTAGTACTGCAGGCCAAAGAGAAGACAAAGCATTAGAACGTCCTGACGGTCGAGGCTGAATGCGTCATCTTCAAAAAAAAAAAAAAAATAGCGCAGGTGAATTATAAATACTGCACTAAATTGTACTCATGAATGAGAACCTCATGCGTTCTGCATGCAGTCTGGTCGGTTCTTGGCGGGTGTGACCAATGCGCTGCAGCCGGAATTCAACATAGGAGCATGTTTACAATACCAAAATGCTTACGGAAGATTGCATTCTCAATATTGTAAACGTGACAGAACATGATGCCGGAATGGAGCTTCTACTTCAGCCTTTGCAGCATGCTGGTAATAATTCAAGTGCTGTGTCTCATGTAGTGAGTTCTAAAATGGTTCTGGCTGACAAAACAATCATCATTTTATCATGTGATAAAAGTGTAGCGTGTAGTAGAGGGGTACGTGGTATAGACTAGGACTGCACAATTATCGCAAAAATATCAGCGCGATAATGGCCCATGCAATATGCATATAGCACAGATGTGCGGTCACTTTCATATGGAATTACAGGTACCGGTATATGCTTTTTATCAGGCTGAGCCAATCAGAAACAACCTCAAAAGTCCACCGCCACGCAACAGAAGAACAGGATTGAAGAACACACACACTAGAAAATGCTGGGGGGAAAAAGTTATTACAATTAATTAGCTAAGGGAGGGATTGGGACCCTACCGTCCAACCGCGGGAATGCACATTGACACTGCTCAGTGTGACAGAAATGCCCAAATTGTACACCCACATCACCTCGCCATTTTGCGCCGTTGAATGATTATTGCACACTTTTCGTGACGCCTGCGCTACCTACGAGCTGCGGCTGGATAGCTAACGTGGCTAAACATGATGCAAAGGCCAAAGTTTGCTTTGCATCTGGTGTCTACCTAGCATTAAGTCACTAATCATCACTTCAACGGCGGCGAAAAAGCGACACTTCTGTAAGCAAGCAGCACTATGACGACGAAGAAGGGAACCCAAGGAGAAAGACGGGAAGCCAGGCTAAATCAAAATGCAGTTGCAAAACACTGAAATAAGTGCTTCTGTGACAGCGCACTTGTCACATAGCTCTGGCTGGAACCGTGTTACAGCGGAGCGTAGCTAAATTTGAACGGCAAAATATCAAGCAACTAATTAAGTAACGGTGGAGAAAATGACACAGAATAACGTGCGCAGGCACTGAAGACAGGAAATAACGGAGGACGTCACCGCCACCCGAGAGGAGGAGACAGATAAGATTCAAGTATATTTGTAGTAGAATAAATATTTTAAATATAAGAACTGTTATCCTTGTGACAGTTGAAAACAGAAAATTAATAAAGCCTATTTAAATCATGGGCACAGTAAAATAAAATCTGGACAACGAAACGGAAAGGCAGCTGCACTGTTTTCATTTAAAATATGAGCATTTTTTTTTCTTGGCGTGAGGGAGTGGCCCCACTTTATTCTGACTTGTGATTTGCACAATAAATGTCATTGTGATTCCCGAACGGCGGGTCCATTTCAGGGCCTGTTGAAACCCCATCCCCCGTCCGTCCCAGACGACCATTACGGTTACGCGCAATACTGCCGCCGTCTGTCGTCCGCACCCTCCAACCATCGACGAGTAAATTTTAGGCTCAGTATATCCAAGTATATAGTGTTCCCGTGAAGGGAATTGATACCGTAATATGATTTTTGGGCCTAAAGCCCCGCCCTAAGTGAAGACTGACCAAACACTGTGAATGAGTTGCCTATTGGGATTAAAACACACCAGTGGCATGTTTTTCCACTGGTTGTATTGTAGCATTAACATGTATGTACACAACACAAACAAAGCACAAAGACTGAAAAGTACAATCAACTCTCTGTGCAACACGTGTATTGCTTTCACTGTATTGTCCGAAACGCCGTTAAATTGGTTGAATGCAAATGAAATCTTACCTGCCCAATTACAAATCTGCCCAATGAAAAATAGTGTTTGATTTAAAGTTTAACACGTGGATCTTAGTTTGGACTGCGAGTTGATTGTCTTAAAATAGACAGGTGACCTCGATTATCTCACGGGCTGATGAAAAACACACCAAATGCCCTCCATATCTCAGGACCCCCTGGGTGTCAGGAGTGTCACGTTGGGATAGTTAAGGGGGGGGGGGGGAATACAGGAAAGCCTTTGATTCGTGCTCAAAGCCTGCAGGGTGGCCATTAACCCGCCGCAGGTCATACTTGGTTTGTCGGGAAGGGTCACGTCGGGTCATAAAGAGGACCCCGGGGCCATAGATGGGGGTCGTCACACGCCGCAATCAATAGATGGATATTTGACCCTTGCTCGAGTTTCAACCGCCCCTTGTCCACCCCCGCCCTGCCGCTGCTAATCCAATGAATACACAGACTGGAGAGTCAACAACAAAGCAGCAGGCACAAGCGTTAACATGGCGTCTGGGCAACATCGCCACCACTCTGCCGCACCTGTGACTAAATGGAGGAGAGGACGTTGAATCAAATGGACATCTTGACAATGATCGCACTTACCATGACATAGTGCCGCTGCATTTCGGTCTTTTCGTTGGCCAATTTGTCGTATTCCACTTTAAGACTTGAGGAGAGGGAAGGATAAATAAATATCTGATTACATTCTCCATTTGTGGCAATCACAATCATCGTTTTGCTGCTGTTGTCCGAGTCTCATTCATAAATGTACAATCTTTAATTAGTGGAGCTACTCAAAGTTCTTAATGAGAAGCGTTCTCAGTACTTTCCAGTGGGAAGACAGTAATGTTTACACAGTAGATTCGACGTTATACCTGTGATACTGAGCCTGCAAGAACTGAAATTCGTCTTTGATTCTGTCACAAGACTCTGCCACGGTGAACTTGAAACCAGGCTGCCCTGGCTGGTGAGGCGCCTGCGGAGCGAAAAGAACAGTTTGTTGAACGACCTCCAATTTCCTCTGGACAGGGAGGGGCGAATATGTCTATCGATGCAATGTGGACAAAGATACAGAAATGTATTTTAAAACACATGTTGGTACATCGACTGATTCGGAGCTCTGCCCCCCCCCCCCCACCACTCCTTGTAGTCTCTCGCCGCACGATACTAAATAGCAAGGTGTGTAGCTCCACACCGAGGGCGCACCTGAAAGGGCGGTGGCGTGCATGTCCATTTTGAAATCAAGCACAACTACTTACCGGATGCCGGCCTTGCGGATACATATCTGTCCTTCACACGAGGGAACCCGTTGCTTTCCTGTGTTTTTCCTCAAGTAATCCGAGTGCAGCAAATCACCACCAGTCACCAGCCCTTCCACGGGTGGCACGGGACGGCCCCGGACAAAGTACCGTTCGCGGCTGCGAGGCGCTCAGTCACCCGGCATCGAAGCTCTCACTTCTCCTACACGCACACGCGCACGCGCGCGCGCGCGCGCGCGCGCGCGCGCGCGCGCGCGCGCGCGCGCGCGCGCGCGCGCGCGCGCGCGCGCGCGCGCGCGCGCGCGCGCGCGCGCGCGCGCGCGCGCACACACACACACGCTGGTGTGGAAGTGGATCTCGCCTTCTTCTTTCACATTCGGTGGAAATAATTCTAGCTCTTCGACTAAGGAAAAAAGTGAGAATAACAACCCTCAAGTGTATACACTGATAGTTTGGATCACACCCTTATGAACATTGGGCTCGTTTCCTCGTAAATCTATCGAGGTGAGAGGCGTTCTACGAACACAAGTCTCTTTCTCACTGGCTTGCTATGGTGGTCCAACACAAAGAACAAAGTCGACACGCACACGCACCCACGCACGCACACATTCTATCTAGCGGATATGTAATGTCGCTCACCTTTACCTTTGTCTCCACTGCCGTCCTCGCCCCCCTTTCGTTAATTTTTAAAATCCACACTTAGGTCGGAGTATATCCTTCATTCGCAAAAGTCACCGGAGCAAAACAAAAAAAAATAAAAATAAAGATATCCGCTCCAGCAAAACAAAAAAATAAAATAAAAATAAAGATATCCGCTCCCTTTTCCTTTCCGTCCTCTTTTCGCTTCTCCACTCTGCTGTGTTTCGACCTCCGTGGTGCCGAGGCAGTGGACGTCCTCCGTACAGCAGGACTATGGAACCCACTTCGATATAAGAGTATATTAAATCCAGTAGTAGTCAAAGTGGCTTCCAATGTGTCCTATGGATGGATGTTAGGTAATAGCACTACTTGGGGGAAAAAAGTCCGGAGTTGTGAAATAAAACACAAGCTAGCCCGCTTCTTCCGTCGCGCGTTATGCCACACACAGACTGAGTACTGACACGAGGACACCACTGACGTGAGAGGACCACTCGATAACCAATTGGGTGTTCCAGCCAATCAAAACGAACGAATCCCACGTGGGGTGGATGCATTCAACCGTTGCTCTGATTGGTCAGTGATATGTGACCTCACACACTCGCCATTTTGGCTCTGAAGTGCCAATCGGTGTGTTCAACAACTTGTTCGAAACAAAGACAATATTCTAGATATCGGTGCACGGTGGTCATTACTAGGTAAAAAAAAATAATCAGTGTGAGAATCAAACCGTATGCAACAGTACAATATACTCGCGAACACACACGCGATCATTCGTTTTTGCTATGCTGCTGTTCCACATTTCACCTAAATACTACGGTGTATATAATTGTTAAAGATGCGCACGGTGTGAAAAGTGCTTAGTTCACCGGAGCGTTTCCTTTAACAGCTTCAATTTGAGGGACCTATTTCAAATGAAACATCAACCATTTCTGCTTTGTCTTTATTAGCAAGCCAGTGGGCTACCACGCTTCTGTTCTTCAGGACATCAGCCTATGAAGCGTTGCCTTCAATGCATAACACCACGTGGGTCGTCCCGCCCCCAAGCAATCCATTTTATCCAATAATCTCTTAGCTGTCTTCCCACACAGCTTGTAATTGGCCCAGCGCAGGAGAAGCCGTCAGTCAGGATGCAAGGCTGTCAATTAAACCCACGTTGGATTCGGTGCTGACAAATGCCGGCGCTCCTTCTCCCTCCTGCCTGCGAATAGAGGCTGGAATGGCTGCTTAATTAGCTTCGAATGGCTTTTCCTTTCAGCTCAAACAATCTGTCACTACCATGTGGTAAAAAGAGCTTTGCATAAAACAAAAGCGAAAAGCGGAGGGCGGGGGGGGGGGGGGG